TAAAGAAAAACAGAAGTATATTTTAGTAGTTACATTAGAATGATCAACAATTAAAAAAAACATATTTAACTGCAAATAATAACACAAAGTTAGTTTTGTCTTTGCAGCTACATGCCATTGAAAACACATTCCATTTAAACATCCCTTTTGTGGATTGCTTGACATTTACGATCAGTAAGATTCATATTCTATTTTCATTTGCTAGAATAGAGTAAAAACTACAAGAAATATAACAACGATAATTATAACGATTTTTTGTTTTTTTATATTATCATTTTAAAACTAATTTAAATGAAAATAATATTTTCAATAATATTTCAAAAAAAATTGGAAAAGTTATTCGCACAAAATGAATGCTTCTATTATAAATTGTTTTTTGTAAATTTATTTCTTTGGCATTATGAATATGCCCAGCGGGAATCGATTCCCTCAGCGCTGAATGGTAATGCCTAGCGCTGATTATTCAAAGGAAACTTCTAATTACTTTAACACGTGCATGTCATTGCGGGCAAGCGCTGAATCGTTCGATTACCTTTTCAAATTTGTAATGCAACATTTCAGCGCTGACATGTTAGCTTACCTTTTCGAATTTGTAATGCAACATATCAGCGCTGACATGTTCGCTTACCTTTTAAATTTTACCTATGCTATTGATTTTTAAATAAAATACTATAAATTTTTTTGGATAAATTATATTTTATATTTATGTTTTATACAATTAAAATATTAATATTTACATAAAAAAATATAACATACTTATATAGATGAATATTTTTCTGGAAATTGTTACTAACACCTTGAAGAGATTTCCAGACTCGACTCGATCACTTGTTCCGGCTTACCATCTGTACTTAAAGCATCTGTAAATACAAAAGTATGTTATTGTATACGCTAAAGTTAATTATGTACAATATACCATACCAAAAAGTGCTGCTGTCACATTCTCTAACGCTCTTAAGGACTTCTTGCCTTGGGTACCATTCTCCAAAATTCCACGAAATTTTTCGCGTAATTGGTTGTTTTTTAATAACGCGTCTCATTGATGCAGTCTATAAATAACGTAATAGATGAAAAGAAATGTATGAATTAGTAAAATTGTTACATGTGAATATATTAATAAGTTGAAATTGAAAGTAAGAAACATATATAATTTAACTTACAACTACTTCAACGGCAGTGATTTCTTCATTAAATTGAATTAAATCCTCCTCAGTTTGAATTGTAAAATTTTCCAATTGAAACAGCTGACTACATTTTACCCCTTGCTTTAGAATGACTGCATTCGCAGCACATTGGTCAATTAATCGTTCTTGACGCAGTAGCATCTACATAATACAAAACAAAAATTTCAATTATCATTTTAAATATATTTACTTAATTTTGCATATACTTACAGTGAGTTTATGATAAATTCACAAATTATATTTTATTTATATTTTTAGATTTTATTTTGTTCACTGCACGCACTTTACTAAAATCAAAAGCAGACTAAATGTATACAATGTAGACAAAACAAGAAATTCTTAATACTCCTTTGCTTTTCTTCTTCATTCTTTTATAATTTCAACCCCGAAATTGCCTATGTCGAACACAAATGTCGAAAACAAAGAAAAATAAAAACGAAGAGCTATTACCTCCTCGCTTACTTTTTCAGCGCTGACATAATGGTGCCGCTGGGTGATTACTACTCACAAATACAGTCAAACTTCTATAACCCGAAGTCCAATTTTGCAAAGAAACGTTTCGACTTATGGAGGCTTCGAATTAGAGAATTTTTTCATATTTTTTTTTTAAAAGAAACTAGAATTACATTATAAGATATTTATTTATTTGCAATTAAACAAAGCACAGAAGTTATAGTGAAGTAAAATATTCACTATATTTACTAAAGTTAATATTTCACTTTATTTTAACTCTTAGAGTTGTAGTATCATTCGTTTGTAAATAAAAATTCAGAATTTTGAATGAGGAAGGCATTCTTGGAAGGCTGATGAACAATTACATCCACCGAACCCTCATCATCACTTTCCGTTGCACTTAGAATTGGACCCAGTAATTTAAAACTATAGTCCTCAATAATAGGAAATCTTGATAAACGAATTTCATTCTCAAGCTTAATAAATTCGTTAAGAGTAGCATTGGAAGTTATTTTATTTACTTTAAACCACGCTGCCAGCGACTGGCATTTGCACAAAGAAGCAACATAAGAAAGAACAAATTAAACATTTGCTTTGGAAAAAGGGACTTCCCCTACCAGCAAAATACATTTATACTTAAAACGAAAATTCAACTTATACCATGGAATGCACTTTCCCATATTCCTATCGGCACGAAACAAAATTTTTGTTCGACTTGTGGAAGCAGAATCGCATGTAATTTGCTCTTTAAAACTTGGTGCACTGTTGTTGGTTCGAGTTATGGAACTTTGTATATACACACAGCAGAAAAATTGTACAGACACCCACAAAATTTTTCTTAAATTTCGCATAACTTTTTTAATTTTTACTCAAATTGATTTTTGTTTTCTGATTTATTTTAACCAAAGAAACGATAATAAAGTTGTAATATAAAAAATTAACAGTTATTCTTAAAAAAAATTAAACAAAATTTTATGCAAAAGCAACAATTTTTGAAGCAGAAAAAGTTTGCGGATATTTCTTAATATTTAAATTAAAACAATTTAAATTCACAAAAATCTTAAATTAAAAATAGTCTGTGGGTAACCTTTGCGTTTAATAAACTCTTTTAAGCGACTTTCCATGGACTCAACCAGCTTTGCAGTATCCTGTGCGTATATTTCTAGCCATTCTTTCCTGATGACGTTTCTTTCTATATCCTTGCTGGAAATCATGTGCTGGCGAATCTTATTTTACAAATAAACCCACAGATGTTATATGGGACTAAGGTGTGGTGATTCTGGTAGTGTTTGAAGTTGCCTGGGAGCTTGATTGAGCAGCCAAATTCGTACGATCGCTGCTGTATGGTTAGAATCGTTGTCCTACTGAATTGTGAAGAAAAAGTTTGCCTCAACCCCTAACATTCTGTCATTTTCTTTCAAATTTGTTTTTAGAATATTTAGATACCCATATTTATCCATTGTATTTGTATAAATTCAAGTTTACCGACACCATTACTTGCTAAACACCTCCAACCGTTATGCCTTCACCACCAAGTTTCATCGTTGAAATCAATCGCCTCTTGAAACAACACGGCAAGAGACGAGAAGAGTTGCGAATACTCAGTTTTTTTTCTGTACTACAAATGCTTTCTCTTGCTTTTTTCAAGTTTCGCAAATATATTTCTTACAAAAAGAAAGCACTACGTGTGAATCATACTGATATGTTGAGAATAACAAAGCATATGATCACACTCAAACTCGAACTCAATTGTTCTGTGCGATCATTTCCACAATTGCGGGTCTGGCGCCAGGTGCAGCATAGTCAATATTTAAATTTACAGCCTGCAAAATATACTGCTTGTTTATCACCTCTATATGGAAATGAAAATGCGTCAAGAACTTTAAGAGACTTTACCGGTATAATGTTTACGTCATAAAATATTGCACCTACATATGCCTTCTCTCGGTATTAACTTTTTATACCTCAAAAGCTATCTTTATCTAAGCACTTTTAGATCCTATGAGTGGCATGTGGTTGGCATTTCTATAATTTTCTACACGATGTTTTTGCATTAGTATGAGTAAATAAGGCCGAAATAATCACAAACTCTTGTTGGTTCATAGCAGGTACCGTAAATCATGAGCAATCATTCAAAGAAGACATTCAAAAAACAACTAATAAGTTTTATTATTGACACAGCACTCTACTTCCTACCAGTAATGATGGATTAAGCAGCTAATGGTAAGTTTACAGGTTTTTTGTTGATTATTAGGAAATGATCGTTGCTATTGATAAATTGGCTCGATTCTTTACAAAAGAGGTCTCATTTAAATTATATGTTATATACTGGTTTGCGATTAATTATACAATTTATTTTTCTATTTTAATCATTTCATATACATATGTATGTATGTATATAATATACTAAGCCAATCATAAATTCTATTTGATATTAATATAGTATTGTCACAGGCTAATATTTGAAATTTATATGATCGAATATTTGAAAATATTTTCAATCAGACCTACTTAGTTCATTACTAGATATGTACATACACAAATTTATACTGAAAATAATACATAAATTATTCAAGTATTCGTACTGGAAGAGTCATATACATACATACATAAATATATAGAATCAAATTAATATCTATTCCTTAATACATGACTTACTTAAAAATAATGAACTTACGATCAGCAAGTTTATTGCTCTTGTTTTCTGCATGTGGTTCATGGGGTTCATGTGGTTCATTTGGTTCATTTGATTCATTTGGTTCATTTGGTTGTTTAAACTTAAAAATGGAAAGTAAATGTAAACAATCAGTTTAAAAATTACTCTACCAAATTGTTTGTACACAGAATGCTTTTGTGTGTTTTGAAAGCATTTTACTGAACTAACTTTAGTATTATTCAGTTGTTGGAAGCAGAGGAACATACCCTTTTCGTTACTGCTTGTAATACGTTTAGCCTTGCATGAGCAAAGCAAATAATTGTACTTGCGTCAGCACAAAAAGAAAAACATTAAAATATTTGTTTTGTGTACACCAAAATTTAATGTGAAAAATACGTTTGTTTCATAACTTCACTTCGAAGCAAGCTGAAATACATATTTTTTTATTAATGAAATTTTTCTTTCATTGCTTATATTGAATAAATATATAAATACAAATAAAAGCTTAAAAATAAAAAATATTGGTTGCCGGAATATAATATTGCCGTTAGAACCAATTTCTTTCAAAATTTGGTGAGTTAAAAGACGACGATGGCCTAATGATGCCGATATTTTGTATGTTATTTTCTTATCTATTTTCCTAACTAATTAAAGTTTTAATTAATTATTGCATATAACACAAAAAATATAAGAGTATCTATGAGTCAACGAAGAGTCCTGTAAATAAACTGCTAACTGGCAATCAAAATCAGTGATAGAGGTTTCATTCTGACAGTTTTAAAACTTTTCATTCTGCCATATGCGATTAGTTTTAAAAAGGTTATATATTAAAAGCTTCATAAGCTTCAATGTCATGTAATGTGAAATATGAAATAAATTAGCCTATATATATACTGCAAGAATGTTGTATAAATCTTAGCTATTTTATTTTAAATTGGCAGTAACATTGGCAGTTATCAAATTAAGTATGAAAATTAAACAATTTACATATTGCAGATTAAAAAAATGTGTACAAATGATTCGACCGTAATGTGCCAAAATGAGCTCTTCCAAGGGTATTCAGATGAACTTCTAACATTTGCATCTACTGCTTGCATAATGTTTATGGTTATTGGCGTGCCTGGAAATCTACTAACGATTTTTGCCTTATTATACGGAAAGCAAGTAAATGGTGAAATTTTTTTTTTTATCTAGTTAAGAATCAGATTTTGTTTCAGACACGAAACTCTACAGCAATCTTCATAATAAACTTGTCTACATCTGACCTGCTTTTTGATTGTTTTAATTTGCCTCTGGCGGCCTCAACATTTTTAAGCCGATCATGGAATCATAGTGATATTCTTTGCAGATTGTTTCCATTACTTCGTTATGGTTGTAATTTTCGATTAAAAATTTCAGATATACTAATTAAAGCTTTCTCATACTTAGGTCTACTGGCGGTGTCTCTTTTTACAGTTTCACTTATCACAATAAATCGATATATAATCATAGCTCATCCACGGAAGTATCCTAGGTATGTTATAAAATGCAGTATTAAATATGTTAAGAAATTCTATATATATAAAAAATGTAGGGCATATGCCACATGAGAAAATGTAATAATTGATTAATAATAATTGGAAACAATTGGTTCTTTTTACATATCTATTTCTTTCAACAGTTTTCGTATGTTCCGATTTTAACTAATAGTGTTAAAAGTTCATAAATCGAAGCTGTCCCTTTTTCTTAATAATCGATACCTAATTTACTGTAATTAGTTTGATATTAAGGAATATCGGGCATGTATTAAGTAAATTAAGAACAGACAGCTTAACAAAATTGATATTTTTATCTCTGGGAACTAATAGTCCGTATTTACAAGAAAATGGTAGTTTATCGACCATTGTATTTCTGAAACAAAACAGTTCAGAAAAAAATACTAACAAAACAGATTGAATTATTTGATTTGATATAACAGATATGACAAAATTTATTAAGATCTATAAAAGTGGAATTCTTTTAAGTTATAGTTATCATTTAAAAAATGAAATAAATTTTATGTATATGCATGTAGTATAGTATATATGGTCTTGCCTAGTTTTCACAATGCCTATTTAAATTACAAGAATAACTGACTTAACTTACTGAAAAATGTGTTAACTTACATATCGAAATATGCCACAAAATCCATAAACTATTGTTGCACAAAAAATGACACTTAATTTTGGCTTTAGTTGTTTGCTTAGCTGTTTTCATTACCTTTGTCAAAAGCAAATATGGATGATGTATTGATCTGCTGTTTTCAAGCACTATTTTCTTCCATATCTGAATTAAAGAATCTATAGTACAAAGAAGTGTCACGCTGATACAAACGAAATACCCACTTTATTTTGCTGGTGGATTTATATTAATTCCACCAGCCTCATGCAACAATGTTCGATCGAGTCACAACTGGTATAATGTTCAGTTCAAACCTATATGTGAGTCAAGTAAGGCTGACAAAAGCCCGACTGCATACGTATTCAATCATACATGCAACCCTCTGTATTATAATATACGCATGTTTGTATGTTTGTTCGCTGTAAAATGTTCAAGGGATCAAACAGCATTTCAGTGACGAAATCAAAATTGTGTACATTTGATAAGTTATTGAATTTAATAGTATATAAAACAAAAACAGAATTACCTGTTTGATATTGTTATGAATTGTAGTGTAAAAACACAATACGAATTTATTTGTCTCAAATCAGATTTTTCAATTCTATGAAGTTTTATATTTAAATGTTGTCCATACGAAATTTAAATAGTTTTAAATCGGGAAAATATTTTTTGGATCTCTTACAATGAGATAAACAACACTTATTACCCGCAATCGTTTTACGATTCATTTTAGAGACTAAACTTTTTGAACAAATCAAACTAAGTATGAATAAATTTTAAATGTCTAATATAAATGTATATGGATACCAAAAAACTGTATAATGTTTATATAAACTTTCAATATTTTTTTGGTTTTAAGAATTGTAACAGACTTCACAAGACACGTCTTATTTAAAATAATTTTTTTTAAATAATTACAAAAAGTCACCAAAAATTTAAACTATTAGGAAGTAGTTCCTTTTGAGGTAAAATATATGCACAAATGTGCAATAAAAACATACATATTTATATACTGCAGACTTAATGTCTCCAATATCACATTTGTACATACATAATGGTTTTTGTAGTGCATCAAAAATAATATATTCTATTACTCTTTACTCCTATGATATGGGCCTTACCAGTACAAGAAAATAAAGCAACAAAATATATGGAAAACTTGCTTCAGGGATTTCTGTACCATTCACTTCGCTATTAATCAATGTATATTAATAAAATAGACAATTATTTATTATAAATCCACCTGCAAAATAAAGTGGATATTTCGTTTGTATGAGCGTTGCGCTTCTTTGTACTCTAGATTCTTTGTCTGAACAACGCTCTCAAATACAATATGTTTTATTTAGCGGCTAAAATAATTGCTTTAAAAGCAAAGAACTTTTATAGGTGAAAGATAAAGTAATGAAAAAAAATATAAAAATGGACATTACAATCAAATCAAATCATATTGCGATAATTCACCGTTTCCTGTCAAAAGATCTTCAAATAATTACAACTGTCTCTTGATGTGTTTCTAATGACATATTCCAACTTGACCTCAGTATTATAAAAGTAGAAAATGTATCGTATAATACGTATTTCTTCTTCAGTCCTACCTAAACAATCACCCGACGCAATTATTAAAACAATCAAAGATCTGATTTTAACTGAGAGATATCAACCCAATAACTTAATAGTTTTCACATAATTTAAGTTAATAAAATGGAATACACCATAAGGTAAAGGCATTGACTGACTTTTTCAAAGTCAAAATTTATATACAATGTAATTACATATAATATATGTATATTGTTTAATGTCTAAAGATAATACAAAAGAGTTGGAAAATGTTGAGTTATAGAGTGATATAATTGGTAACTTCGATAGTTGAAAAAGACGTGCAACATCAGAAACCATATAGTGTATTGAAAAATACAAAAAATTTTTTTTTGCGATATTACAAAAAGGAAAATGTAGGTCACGCCTTAAAAATATCAAAGCATTGAACAACACTCTGAAAAGTATAAAATACCAACTTTTTTCAGCATAACGTTGGCTGAAACGGCAATTAAAGCAGTCAATATGACAAACCATCAAAAATGTGTCTACTGAATAACAACTCCAAATAATGACTGGTTATTATACTAACCACTCACTAACTTGTTCGACTCAATAGAGTCAAATATAGCCTATTAGAGTTTAATAATGCAACACATTTGGAAGATGTAATTAATTTACCATCAAATAAGAACTATTAGACGTTTAATAAAGAGGCAATACAACGTTTCAACATATAGTAAGAGAAACATCTTAGAAAGTTGATAACTCGACGAAACCTTTTTAATAAGAACAGACACTTTAAACATCTTTGCATGGCAATGGAATATGAACATTACATTCAAACTAGTTCGAAGGCATCTTGAAATAGCATTATACATCAACATAGTTCTTTTGAAATGGTCATGCTCACGTCCTCTGCACGTTATTAAAAAGAAATCCTGTAATTTAAGCGCTTGTTGTGATTAAACAAAATTGAAAACTTCGACTTAATCAGATTGTTATCTCATTCTGCCTAAAGACAACATTAGCCAAAAGTGTTCAGTAAAGAGCTATTGCAATATACCAATCATAGATCAATGCATTCAGAAGTCAATATGAAAACATACTGGCTAAACGCGAATCATAAGTGCTTACTCAGCATATTTCTGTCTTAATTTTATTACATTTTGTAATTCAATAAGTAATACAGATATTAACTTTATTGCCCAGATCATTTGCTTAAAAAATTTTGAAAGAGGCTTTTTTAAGACTTAGTAGTAGCAGTTAGAAAACTATTAGGATTGTTCGGGTTTCTAAGAAAGCTATTCCCATTATTATTTTTTTTCGCTCGTCATTAACAAGAGGTTCTCGCTTCTTAGAATTAACGCATTTAATAGTAACACATTTATCATCCCTAAACTTGGGTTAGGTATTACAGATATGGTATGGACTAATTTTCTTTTTCAAGTATTACAGCGATTCAGTGTAAGAGATACATTAGCATTAATACTCATTTTTAGTTCAGCAGCAAAAGTTTCATTCATATTTTCGTTTTTTTTTTCTTATGTTCCTTAAACGTTTTGCAGTAAGCGTGGAGAACGACCATACAGTAAGCGTTGTATGGTCAGCCAAAAATTCAATTAATTAAAAGCAATAAAAATTTGGTTGAAATTCGATATTGTTCGAAGAACCTCTCTATTAAAAAGATTCTCTATTAAATAGATTGCATTAAGAAACAAGCTACTTTTGTCATAACTGACATTAACCCATTAAGTACCAAGCAAGTTCAAACTTGGAATTTTATGGTGAAATTTTCAGAAAGGTCTTATTTTAAGTTAACAATATTAAAATAATATTCCCTACAAAATTAAATTTTTTTTTGAAAAGTATTTTTCCAGAAAAGTGCCGTGTGGTCAACCACACGCTGGGACCCATAGTACATTTTTCTTTCTTCGATAGTACAAACATTTTTTTTTGTGTTTAGTTCGCAAATATGGTATTTAATTACTTTTATTGTGAAGTAAGTATCATTTTAAGTTGTGTAAAATACGTGGAAGTATAAAATTTTATGTTTTATGCTTTTCAAATATTTATTAATCAAAAAATATGTTTGAATTATTACATATGTATTATATTATGTAAAAAGAAATAAGTTTACTTGCGTCATTGTCTACTATCAATGTAATATTGTTTATGTTCATAGAAAATTTTAAAGCAATTTTCTACATGACCATTTAAATGGCACTTTTCATATATAAAAACTGTGGCTTTTGGTGTACGAACAATACAGTAGTGGCGATTTTAAGTTTTTATGGGAGCGTGCATACCGGTTAAACGTGATAAATTTCCCGGAAGATAAACATCTTCTGCTGCACTGTGACTTTTTTTTTTAAATCATCGTCAGCGGTAGCTTCTGTAATGAACATTGAGTTCTCTGATGAAAGAAGAAGGTTTCTGGCAATGAAATTCTTGAAGTCTAACTGAGGCATAGGTTTTGTGTTGGTAGAAGCAGCGACAGAGCAACTTATTTTCCAAGCGATTACTACAGTGCTATCTAAACACTGTACCCATTATGGCCACCACCACTTTTTACTTCTATTCTTGATACAATAGTTAGCAACTCCATGTAAATCGACGCCGCTCATTTGTCGGTTATAGCTATTGATAACTTGAGGCTGTGGGACACCAACCTTTTTTTTTTACTCTCTGCTATAGCGTTGCACATTTACTATAGGTTCAACGGAATCATACAGTATGTTGCAATGGATACTCACAATGGCTCAATAATTCTTTTACAACAAATACACCGATTCCCAATTGTTTGTTGTATTTGTCAGTTGCACTGAAGTATGGCAGAAACTGGAAGATATACCCACTATCCAAAGAAGGGTTCATAGCTTATAACCGAAACGTATTGGTTTTACAAGATCCAATTTGAATTTTTGCGACACAGGCATTTCTACAAGACCATCATAATCTTGTACATTTGATTCGCATACAACTTAAATAGTACCAAAATACTCTCTCACAATTAGACACACGGAATTCAAAAACGGAGAACAAAATTTTAAAGACGCATGTAATGTTTGTTGATATTTCATCATCGTCAATCATTTCATTATCCGATTGACCAGCAACATTATCAGGTGGCAAACATTGTTATTCAATAGGTAGCAGAGTGTCACTTGCCGCTAATGAGTCATCTTCGCTCCAATTGTCAATAATATGCAATAGTTCCTGATTTCTTAGATATCTTAGGCACGACATTATAATTTTATTTACAGTAAAAAATTGATGGCAGAACTTTTAGCAAGGACAAATATAAGCTCTATATAAAACAATCAAATTCAGACTAACTCAACCAGCAATTAAATATCAAAACAGACTTATTACTATTACGCATTGTAAAAAACACAAGTTTAAGTAAATCAAAAGAGTATTATATTCATTAGAGAGATTAGTCTGTCTTAGATTTTATTTTATCACCAACAACTAAAATTTATATTTCATTATTTTATCACTATAGTACTATGGGATCCAACATGTGGTTCACCATACGGCTTTTTTCGCCGGCGTCTTATGGCAAATAAATGTTACGAGGGCAGTTTGATAAGTCAGTGACTTTTTGAATTTTCCGCTCAGTTACTCCAAATGCAATAGTGCTGCCGTCAACTGTAATCTACCAATGGGCAACTTTCTAATTCTGAGCAAACTACGTCGTTCAGTTGGTGTTTGATAGCCGTTCAAAACAGACAACCTCGTGCATTTTTACGAAAATGGAAAAAACTGGATTTCGTGTGCTGATGAAGCATTACTTTTTACGTAAAAATTCCATCACTGAAACTAAGGAAAGACTTGATAAATACTACAGGGATTCGGCACCATCAATTTCAATGGTTTAGAAGTGGTTTACAGAGTTCCGTTGTGATCGTACCAGCACTAGTGATGTCGAACGTTCAGGTCGTTCAAAAGAAATGATCACGCCGGAAATCATCGATAAAATGCATGAAATGATAGTGGATGATCGGAGAATGAAAGTGCGTGAATTGGCTCATGCTGTAGGTATCTCAACTGAACGGGTTCATCATATTTTACACGAATATTTGGACATGAAAAACTCTCCGCGAGATAGGTGTCGCGATTGCTCACACTCGACAATAAGCGCAATAATGTGACCACTTCAAAAGAGCGTTTAGCGATGTTCAGCCGTAATCTGAACGAATGTTTGCGTCGTTTTGTTACTGTAGACGAAACATGGATCCATCTCTACATGCCAGCGACCAAGGAACAATCGAAACAGTGGGTTGCTAGGTGTGAACGTGGACCAAAGAAGGCCAAACAGAGTCTGTCAGCCAACAAGGTCATGGCCACAGATTTTTGGGATGCAAGCGGTGTCATTCACATCGATTACCTCGAGAAAGGTAAAACGATCACCGGCGAATATTATTCAAAGCTTTTGAACAGATTCCACGTTGATTTGAGGCAAAAACGGCGGCATTTGGTGAAGAAGAAATTGCTGTTCCATCAAGACAATGCACGTGTGCACACTTGTCTGGTTACGACGCCCAAAATCCACGAATTGGGATACAAACTGTTACCCCATCCAGCATTTTCTTCTGATTTAGCCCACTACGAATATTTTCTGTTTCCAAACCTAAAGAAATGGCTGGGCGGTAAGAGATTTGATTCGAATGAAGAAGTCGTTACCGAAACAAATACGTATTTTGAGAACTTTGAGAAAACCTACTATTTGGAGGGGAAAAAAAAAATTAGAAAAACGCTGGACTAAATGTATCGAGCTAAAAGGTGATTATGTAGAAAAATAAAATGTTTATTTGCCTAAAAAATTTGCTTTATTCAAAAAATCACTGACTTATCAAACCGCCCTCGTACTATAAATGGTTTTAAAATTTTTCTTATAAGACTGACGAAATACGTTTTTCAAAATAGTTGATGGGATTTTTAATTAGTTGTTAGTCCTTACAAACGCTGCGTATGGCGTTTAATGCTTTTGCAGTTTGAATTCATCCCAAAAAATTCAATGTTTCCTTGTGAAGCAATCTCCAATAACTTCATACGTCCCCGATTAAATGAAGACTGAATGATTTCACGTACATTTCAGCTTTAATTGCAGTGGTTTTAATACCCTCGGTTTTTCATCAATACACATACGAAATATATCATTTGAGCAGACTTAATTAAATTTCAACTTTTTTGTTGAAAAATTAGTTTCTGAATTTTTTTATGGAATTGAATTGTAACTTTAACTTAATTTTATAAGAAAGAAATTCTAATGAACAGAATCAGTAAAATTTCAATGACTTTGCTGTATATATAATCTATAAGACACAGTTTCAGTGTAAAGTAATGTAAACTAAGATTTGAACACTTTAAGTCAACAGTGTAGATAGAAATGGGGTGTACATTATAATCCCTTCATTTTCCTTGTCTTGAACCATACCATCGCCATTATATTTTATTTACCTACCCTATACAAGCAACGCAACTTGCACCAATTAATAACAGGGTTCAGTCTTTTAATTTATTATACTTAGTACATTATTGAGCGTTAATATCCGTAAATAATAGCATTGTCTACGGAAAATGCTTCAACTTACTCACGCAACCTAAACTCGTCTGCAAGCGTATAATGGATCATGTCTGGTGTCTAACCTTTTATTGACTCATCTATACATTTCCATACTCTTAAATCTACTCTACCTATTGAAATTTAATGCCGAATGAGAATTTAATGACGAATAATTATAAGTTTTCATGATTTTCAACAGATCCAACAATTCGCGTTGCTACGAAGCTACAAATTATGGATTTCATTGTGTATAAGATATTGTAGTCACAAATGGTCCCTCTTAGGTTCTTTCACCTCTCAATAAATATAAAGTGTGAACTTAGTTTGCCAGTCACAATAAAACAAAAAAACAATGTTTGAATTTTAGGTTTTATAAAGCTAAATTTAATATAATATAAATAAGGAAACCATGCTCAATTTAATTTCTATTAGAATATATCAGCGTCGAAATCTTGGATTTATGATTGCTGGGACATGGATAACATCATTTACTTTTATGATTCCAACATGGAGAGGAGTATGGGGTAAATTTGGCTTAGATACTGAAATTGGATCCTGTTCAATATTACATGATGAATATGATAGATCTCCAAAGGAGTTTCTTTTTGTTATAGCCTTTATGGTACCATGTCTTTGTATTGTACTATGTTACGCCAGAATTTTTTATCTGGTAAGAAAAGCAGCTGTTCGTATAAAGGATCCAGCTTCAAAAAGTATTTCGTTTCGAAATGAGGAAACTAAGTCTCCGCCAAAACTTCTTGAAATTAATGATTATGAAAAAGATCAGTCTGATCAAATGAAACTACAACCTATCACTGAAGGTGCAATAACACAGCTTAATTTTATTGATGATGATATCGAGTATATTGATGTATGCAATTCAAGTGAAAACATGCCGATTTCTTACAACAATAATGCAGCGAGCAAATCCAACACAAATAGTACAAAAAATTCTATTCAGGTTTGTATAAGTTTCTTACAACTATAGCTATCCTATTATCATAATTAAAGTATGTGTCCTTAACTTTTATTTAAGTTTAGAAGTATTTTATATAAATTTTTTAATACACTAAAACAAATTCATAACGCATATAGTCGAATCCGTTAGGAATTACAGTTCATTTACAAAAAATTCAAATTATATATGTATATATCCAAGTAGTCGCCAGGGTCTGGGAGTGGAAATGTGTGCTAGCTTTCAAAAGATGATGAAGAAGCCGTTTTTAAATATATTATTATGATAGTTACTTTAAAACAAAATACAAGTTTTCGATCTTGAGAGAGTTAATATCGGGCCGTCATATTATACGATGAATGCAGAAAACAAATTGTTTTTAAGAAAACTTTTTACAAAGAAATTTATAGACAGGCGTATATGCGCAAAATAACACTTTTTACAAGTTTCGTCTTTTAGAATTTTGTTTTTCAATTTTTCTTTAAATTATATAATTATACCATCAGCATAGATTTAGAATGATAAACTGTGCTACTATAGTTTATGTACAACTTTACTTCAGATTACTAATAATATCGATGCTTGTTGTAGACATTTTCGTGTTGTATTTACTACTATTCTTCCAAAGCTAGTCGGTGTCTGTGCCCACCTAGTAGGCAGAGGCGAGGCGTCGTATGCTTCAGAGTGTTCACTGAACACCTTAACAAAACTTCCTTTTTAGATCTTTTTTTTTATTAGGTAAATAATCTCGCTATTTTGCTACTTAACATTTTTTATAATAGCTTTTCCAAACAGATTAACATAAACACAAAGCGTACAATACAAACAAAATCACACATAAATATGTTAGTTACACCCAACATTACTTTTAATTAATAAAAGACATTTCTCTTATATAATAGTAAGGTTCAGAATAAAAACTGCACCGCGCTGCTTACAAAGCATACAAATTAAATAACATTCACATTGGGACTATGTTCAGTATTGAATAAACACAAAACATACAAACAAATATAAAAATAAAAGAGAAAACAAGCCCCGCAAAATATGTACGTCAAATAATCATAACTCTTAAATTAATGCGTGAACCTCCAATGTTATGCAAAGTAAATACAAAAGAGAAAAGAAATAACTGAGCGAAAATCGCTTTACATTTGACTAGAGGTTCAGTCGACCAAATTGAACCATAAGTTCATACAAAGCGTGCAAATACAATCAAAGTCACGGTTGCCGTTTTATATGGGCAAATGGTTCAATAAAAAAACTGAACCGGGCATAGTAAATACAAAGTAAAAGAGTAAATGAATGCATGAGAGTTTCTTACTCTTATGTAGAGGTTGGAAATAAACCAAAAACAAAGTCATTATTGCAATTTTATACTAGCAAATGGTAAAAGTAAAGAAAAAAATCAAAGAAATTTGAAGTGAAAAATAATATTTAGAAATTAATTAATGTGTAATTAAAGATTTGATTCAAATATCTGTTTTTAAACGATCTTCTGAAAAAAAGGTTTTAATTCATAAAATGAATAGACCAACTCCAGATATGAAGAATTTGGTACCTGATGTAAAAATGTCGAAATCTGTGGTAAGTCGCCGTTTTCCTACAAGTATTTACCATAAAAACCAGTGGATTACAGGCTGCGAACATTTAAATAAATTGTTTTGTTAGTCTTGTACGCTATTTGCTTGTGGAAAGAACAAAACTCAGGAATAGGGGGAATACGTTATAGTTGGAATTCTGTTTTGATCAATTTGTGAACACCTTGCCAAAAAGTTGACGCTCCGCTACTGCTAGTAGGGAGTACTTTGTTAACCCATAGAGCAAACGTATAGATAACCTTTCTTCTAATCAGTCTTATTATAAATGCATGTACCTTCTATATCTAAGAATGCGTATATTGCCATTTTTTTCCATAATATGCTCTCCTGAAGCTGAATTTTGACTAGTGACAATGCTTCTTGCTCACCTTCGATATGTAAACATGGACCTTAAAGCTGGTCTGTACTTTTTTGGAGTAAAGCTAAAAAGATGTGATCGATATGTAAAGGAAATGAAAACTACCATAAGAAAATAACTGCTAATGCGTCCGACTAATGCGTTTATATCATTTATATCAATATCAATATAGTGTAGGAAAGTAAAACCAATTTAGTTCATTAACAATTCACATTCTAATTATTATTTATATATAAATATGTTCTACGTATATATTTATCGCTTTTGTAAAAATAAAACTCGATGCCCTCAGTCGACGCGATATAACTCTTCACGGTTCTATTGTTTATGCTGCAAAGTGTCATTCGAAAACTTCTTGTATTGTCATTGTTAAACTATTTGACTTTCCGAATGAGTTGAAGATACAATAAGTTTACTTCTATTATCTTTGTCAGGGCAATAAAGAAGCGAGTTTCGAGATATTGCAAAAGCTTTGTCTGTACTACCGGTTAAAATATAGAAAGTTGTAGTATTGTTGGTATAGTGCATAATTGCACAATAATTTTAGACTTGATAGGTTTTATAAGATTTTTTGTTTTTCGTTTTTGTTTTTGATGTCTGATTCAGACTATAGAATTATAGCGCCCCCACAGTCCATGTTATTTTATCTTCTTGCTAAACAGTTTACACATAGGGCTTATATTAAGGTAACGTCCAATTCGAAACACCTATCTCTAGCCCTTTCTTGCAGTGATATTTTCTTTTCCGTATCACTATGCTCAGGTTCCCAACAAAAAATAATGCAAAGCATTAATATTACATGCCGTTCACAAAACGTCAAAAAATCTGTTAAACGAGATTATTAAAAAAACGAATCTTTCCAAACCTGTCAGACACTGAATTTAAAAAAAACGTAACTATTGATTATAACTTTAAATTTTTAAATGTTTTAAGCTAGTAAGAACTTACGTTATTATATTTTTATATTATATTTTAATCTGAAAACAATGTATTTTTTAATGAATATTTTGCTTCAGAGCTTTAAAATAATTACACGCATTTTTTATATTATACATAAATAATTTTATTTTGTTTTAAATCCTTACAAGTATTACATTTTAAATTAATAAATATCGATTAATTCTACCACTACGTTTATGTGAGTCTTGAAATCAATTTTAAAACAGACTTTAAAATTAATTTTTAGAGCGTTTAGGCACAACAATTAAGTTAGCTGTCAATCAGTCAGCTGTTAAGCGGTAAACAAAAATGTAAATTTTAAACATTTTATATATCGATAGAATAAAATTTTAAATTGTTTTACTTTTATTGCAAAAGGTAGATATTGTAACCAAAATAGTAGAAGAAAATAATAAATCAACAATAAAGATTTAAGGAATATTCCGTATAAAATTTACAAAATTACGAGAAATGCGATCAAAACTTTTTAATAGTGTAGCAATACTTCCGACTTCTATTTCTTGGCGAACTATTTCATAAAAATAGTGTTATTTCTATATTTTTTATCGTTCAAGAATGTTACTATTTATTTTCTGTAAATTCTTTAATTAAATACTTTTCTCTTCATTCATCCAATTTTTTCTTTTTATTTCCCTTTTTCTCGATAGTTTTAGTTTTTTTTTTTATCAAAAGTGTTCTTTGTTTTAAAATTCAAAAACCTATTGACAGTTAACAGCTGAAACTGAAACTATAAACTGCTTTTAAGGTCTGTAGGCAAAAGGTGTTTATGCTTAAAAGTCATTTTTCTCACTAAAAGTGATGTTAAATTACTTTTAGTAACCTAAAAGTGCTTTTAAACAAAGTTTAGTTTAGGGGCTTACGCGACCTTAAAACAACTTTTAAGCCTCGTGTAAACGGAGTGATTGAAAAGCGCTTTAAATTTTTTTAATTATTAGTTGCTAACAAGTTTATATTTATTAAGGCTTAAATATTGTAAACTATTACAAATTTTGAAAAAGGAAATTTCACAATTTCCTGCATTCTTAACATTAGTGGCTATTATGAAACTTCTACCGATAGACGATAGACTTCTATCTACTGAGTCGATTGGTAAGCAAATTTGGTATTATGATAGACAAACATGTGCACTACTGTGAATGATGTCTGGGTTTTAGAGCGTGCAGCTTTAATCGAACTTATTTTGTTATTTTGTTTGATTTGTGTTCGCTAAGAAACATTAAAGTTGAATTCAAATTCTTTTTAAAATAAATAAAAATATATTTTATTAATACGAAATTATTACTTAGTATTACATTATATTAGGCCTTTTCGATGGCTAGCAAGTAAGGCAAAAAATGCGTGCTGGCCTATGTTAGCCACGCGAGGGATTGGCATCACTGTTGCAGTCTGTCAAATGTTTTGTTTTCACAAACTGCAAATCTTGTTTATGTGCATAAAAATCAAGTAAAGTATATTGTTATAAAAATATTAAAAAATTAAAATAAACACGGAATTAAAAGAAATGGTAAGAATAATTGAAATTTAGGAATAAAACAATGAGATAAGTAAATTTTTGTAGGTACTCTCGATGCTGGGAGAAAAAAGCAATCTTTTGCAGCGCCCGAGGTTATTAATTAATATATTTATTGTAATTTTTTAAATAGAAAATTTTGTGTTACATTTATAGGTGTAGTTTAGTTCAATAAGTAACAATATTTTAATGTGTAAATATTTTGTAATTTATTTATTAATACCACAAATTAACGTGTATGGTAAGATTAGTTTTAAGATTGAAATATTATGTTTTTGAACTAAAATAAAAATACTATACTACTACTACTAGAAACTTACTTGAACTTACTTACTTGAAAATATTTTACATAAAAGTAAAATAAATTTAAATATGAATTAAAGAAATTCTAAACTTAAACATATATATTACATAAAATGAATATAACTTATTTTTAATTAAAGTAAAAATATTATATCAACTTATTTCTTATCATTATTCAATTATTTTAACTTGTACATAACTTTTTTCTAAAATTGCGTAAGTTTTTCAAGTAATTTAAATTTATTTTCTTCCAATTTCAATTTTCTTTCTTCTA